CTGCCACCCCAGTAGAACATCTCCATCTCTACCAAAAAACAGTATAACGACGATCAGACACCTTTGAGAAAAAACAACTGCCTCTGCTTAGAAATTCCATCATACAGTGAAAACTCCTTCCTTCTAATATACTTTCACATAGGGTTATGTGAAGTTAATTATGATGACGCACATATTAGAATTGTTTTCTCTGTTTCAAGAAAATTTGGGGCAGGAAAGGCTCCGGTTTCCCTGCTTGTTAGTTAGGCTGCTTGTATTTTCATGTGTTTGTCAAAGGAGAGTCTCAAATTCCCCATGGGAAAACAGGAGTGAAATATAAGCCTTTCTTCCTTGCTTATCTCCTCAATAGCCAGTACTATTAGTCATAAGCAGAGAGAGAAGGATTGACCAAAATAGCATCTATGAGAGAAGGTACTTTTTTTTTGAGGTCTTTCTCCCTTTGTCGATTGCTCACGTCACTTTCTCATCTTGCTGTGCCAGAGATGTGCGGGTTCCTAGGAAAATGGACCCCAAAATTGCTGTCTCATTCTTACATACAGCTGCATACTTCAGTATATTCAGGAACAGAAATTTGACTGTTGAAAGAATCCTCTTGAAGGCATCCGGACATCTCAGCCTGAAATACAGCATTAAAGGTCTGGGAAGGGGAAGAGAGAAGGAGGATCGGGGCCGTTGATTAAAGTCTCTTCAGCTATGAACAACTGGTTCTCTTATTTCTGCCCACAAGTCATGAAAACGGTATCAACAGGCACAGACTGATTTCTGTACCTCATTAGTGACGTTATATCTCGGGCATCCTGTGGATGTTCTGGTTCTGATGCATGTAAAAGTAAAGAAATGCCTGCCAGTTGACAGAGATTATACTTATATAAAATACCTTTACCCGATCTTTCCAAATATTATATGGAAAATTATCATTACTCACCCTGCCAAAACAATAGCCTGACGTGAAACTTGACTACTTGGATGTACTGTTGCGCACAGTTAAGCAGCTTGTGGGTGAAAGTAATTGCTTGGAATAATTTCAGACGCTGTAATTTAAAGATCAGATTCAAAATAGCTACAAAGCACTTTACAGTCACACCTAAATCTTCCCATCGCCAACTCCAGTCATAAAACTGGATACACGTAACATTCTGCAACGTCGTGATTTTCTGAATACACAGTTTTCCCATTCGAAAGAGACCGTCTTCACTGCTGAGAACCCTTTAAATATCTTGTGTCGACTTTCTTTTCAGCAGCAATGGAAATTCTGCATTTCAGAACAGTTAAAAGCACCAGCATGCATATTACACGAAAACTCCCCAAAGTACTGTGATTTTTTTCCAGAACGGAAAAAAGCTTTCTGGCATTTTTCATTCCATCCTACAGAATGTGAGATTTGCTGTTGTTTGAAAATAAAAGGAAAAACACTTTTCTAAGACCATCCAGGAGAAGTCTTTCTCCTACAAGAAAGGACACAAACAACTACAAGATCTTCTCTCTATCTAGTTACAATATACAATGCTTAAGCAGTGCAATTTTATTTAGGTCTATGCCATATACATGGGTTCATGCATACACCTGCAACCACACCTCTCAGCCACCAGTGACTGATGCTCAGATCACCTAATAGAAAGATATCAGGGCACAACCCCCACCACTTATGACGAGATAAATGTGCTCCCTCATCATTCTTGATAAAGACCGAGCAGTAGTAGTCAGAAATTACAGACTCCCTCATCCCTATCAGCTGCACCGGACTCTCGCTGGAGGTGCATCTGTGGAAAAATGAAAGGGAAACTTGTGCTGCATTGGCCAAAATCCAGATTCAAGCCAACATAAGACTTCCCTAAGAAATGCTAATCATGTTCTTATTTATTACTCTTAAAAGCATTAAACCAAATACTAATGATGTTTCTCATCATTTCCCCCAACTCCCCCATACGGGCATAAAGAAGTGCCATTTCCATATTACATTGCTTTATTTCTGAGCCAGTAATTATTGTTTTGTTAATAACAAATTCTGTCAAAATACAGCACTCGACTCACCTAGGCAGTAAGACTGACTTTAAAGATGCCGATCTAAATATATATTTACACAAGCCTAATTGACATTTGCTCGAATGCTGTAAATTATTGTACATCTTAAGTAAGCATATTTATATGGCTTCTTTACAACAAGTTTCTAATACTGTTGGAAAAAAGCAAACCTGAACATGCAGACATTTCTATGTCAATAACATTAAGATTATGAAAATAGCAAGAGATAAGACTTAATATAAGCCCCCTGTACTCATTTTTGTTTGCCCATTTCATCAAAGCATGCACTGGAAGACAGAATATGTCATCATCTCCATAGCTGGCTTTCTGGATACTGTTAATTGATGTAATGCAATAAACCCAGCAACGATCAATAGTATTTTGGAACCAAAAAAGCTTTTTAGTATATTTATAGTAACACAAAAACAAAGGAGGTTGGCAAAACCTTTCATGGCACAGATAGTACACCGTTGTCAGTGCAATCACACAGAAACCACCTTTTCCCAAGTTCATCTGGTCACTGAGTTTTTGCTGAGTACTGAAGAGAAGCTGGATGCATTGCAGCCCCAAAAACGTATTTGATATTTACCAATAACCAGAGAAGGGGTTAAATGGCAAATATTAAAGGTAATTGGTTTTAAGTCAAAAGGAACAGAGGACCTGTGCTGTTGAGAATCATTACTACTGGTTTGATTGTTTTAGAGAGTTTGGTTTTCCTTTGCATTTTATTTACACTTTGCAGGCTTTTCATTAAAGAGAGGGGCTAGGATAAGAACAGAAATAGCCATTTTTAAATACTAAAATAGCCATTTTTACACTAACAAAATACAGATTTCAGTTACTTAGGATATAGGCTTTCCAGTAAATTATGTTTTCACAGAAAACAGATAAGCAGAAATAATTATCTCCTAAAGCAGTGACTTACAGTTCTCAATAGTAATTTTTCAAATTAGATGTTATTCTGTGCAAATTGCCTTAACACAGTTAGCTGACCGATACAAACTAATCAGTGTGGCTAATGACTGGTTTTATAAAGTCTCTACTTTGAAGAGAACATTTGTGCTAAGTAGAAGAAAAACGTTAAAGACTTCCAAGCATGCCTCCTTACAGGGACATCATCATCATCATCATATTTACCTTGAACTTATTGCTACAGCCTTCTCTGCAGTAGAAATGTAACATCACCTTTATTTCCAGGCGAAAGTCATTCATCGCTCAAAGCTTATATGGAGACTCCAGTCTAATGGCCAGCACTGGGGGGGCAGGGAAGCGGCCTTCGTGCACAATCCCATGCAGTAACTACCAGACCATCCCTGCAGAGCTTCACACTCAAAGATCGCAGTGGAAATTCCGCATTTATGGCTATGCCGATTAACAGCGTCATCCTTTCTTCCAAGTACAAGTCACATGGTTGCCATCTTGGTCCACTGAACAGCTTGCGTTGCCATGCATGTTATTTGCCTACTGTGTAATGGCTGTTGCACGCTGAGCAAAGTGATCCTCCCTTCTGGGTATATTAAATACCCACTTTTTGTCAAAGTATGTAGTGATTTCTATCTAGGTATTATTAAATCTACAGTAGGTATCTTCACTTCAAGATACAAATAACGCTGGCAGTGACAGAAAAGCATGAGCATTATGGGAAGATGATGGATAATGAATCAAGTTTTTCTTCCTGTATTTGGAATAATATTTCTATTAGCTTGTCTAAAAAGAGAGTCCTCCTTATTTCTACCTCGACCTATTCTGTGAAGCATGAAAACAGTTACCTCTTTTGCGCAGATCGTGTCCTGAACAGTCTATTTCAAAGCCTAACTTCTTTCAGATTTCTAATCTCAACAACCTTATTCAGTTATAAAACAAATAAGCTAATGGCTTACAGAAGTTATATCTCACAAAAAGAGAGTTTAGGAAACACACGCATTTCTTTTCAGTGCAAACAAATGATATCCTGCTGGATTCTCCTCTTATTTGGTCATGAGGTAAAACTGTTCACAGTTCCAGCTGAAAATCTTTCTTTTTGGTAATAATTAAAAAAGAAAAAATCAGTAATACACAGTCATTTTTCAGAATAAAAAATAAAGATTATTTGAGAAAAGTTAGCCTTACCCACAAATTTCCATCATTTTTTTGCACAGCTTCATATCTGATCACCATTTGCACCATGCTGAAATGAACTGGCTGGATACACCAGGCTTAAAGATCACCTCTGGCGCTGCACAGTGTACGGGAAAAGCCTCTCCTGTACCTCTGTGACACCCCTTTTCCTTCCTCCTCTGCACGTGGTATAAACGCAGGGACAGCCTCTTTCTAAGGAGCTCCTACCTTCCATCAGTCCTTGTTGCCAGGACTACTTCATTCTTATTTTAACTGACTCTGTAACGCAGTCTGGGGACGCAAGACGCCAAAAGCTATCTTCTCTCTATTACCCATGACACTGTTGAGAATCCAGATTAAGCTGTGTTTAGAATTCACATACTAGCGAAGAGATTGGTTGTAAACTAGCAGGTCCAGTATTTAACAATGTAGCTATACATCAAGTACTTTAGCACAGAGTAATTCAAAAGGTCTTGCCTACCTCTGCAAAATATTCCTTCAAATAAAAATGCAATGCAATAAACCGAAATAAAGCATTAGTTGCATCTCTCCCTTCACCAAATTTGTTTTATTCCTTCCTTGTCCTTTTACATAGATATGAAGGTTTAGTAAGAAAAATGGTAAAAATAGTTTGTTTAAAAGATGGCATTAATATACCCATGTTCAATTAATAAGCACCACCATCCATTGCATTAAGAATCAACGCTATAAATGTGCTACTCATATCTTACATTTCTGTTGGTCTGTACCCCCTCATTTAATGTCATTTCTTAAAACCGTATTCTCTACAGAACAGTCACAAAACTTTGTTATTTCAGGTCCACATTAAGTTTTGCAATTCAGAGATTTAAAGAATATTTCTTTTATATTCCTTCACATACCATCAAGACCATTATGATGGCTGTAGTTTCTTTTTCCCAAAATACTTAGTGAAGAGTGGTTGGAGGGTGCAAGCAGTCGTTTTGCACTTGGACTTTGAAGGCTTGGTGTTGACCTGATTACATTGGGTTTCACTGCAGGATGAATCTCTGTTCGAGACAAAAGAGAAAGAGAGAGAGATCGTACATACTTGATTTAAAAAAAAATAAAATAAAAATAGTCTATTCAACATTAAATTTACATTTAAATTTCTAGTGAAAGGAAAGAAAGTTTCTTCAGCATGACTGTGTTTGCAAGACCACAAATAACAATTCAAACACGAGTCTTCATACCTACAGTTCTTCCAAGTAAGAAAAATCTATTTCACTTTAGATTGCCCGAGTTCAATACTATGGCGTAGATGTGTAAGGAATTCAGAGACTGAAGAGATAATACAAATCAATCTGAAACAGGTCTGCGTTTACATTTTCCTACCCTTTCGAGGTTTGTATTGAAGCTACACACCTACAGCTTTTTAAGCAAGCAAATAAAAGCATTTTACTGTAGTGAAATTACCTCAATACCTCAAGCTATTCAATATTTGCTGTCACAATAACAAGTTTCAAGGGATCTTCCCAAACACAAGTCACCAGGTGCAGGAAGTCAGGGAGCCAACCACAGCAGGGCTCTGAAGGTAAAACCACCCCAAAACCGCAGCAGGAACACAAAAATCGTTAAGACTGCACTGGGTTCCCCAGGTACTGTCGGACTCCCGTACAGAGTCATTACTGGGGAGTTTCAAACATCCCAGAGTATCTAAATACGGTTCATGGAGTAGGATTATTTTGGAGAAGGAGGAAGAAAGGTAGGTAAGAGGCAGTGAAATGCATCTGGCCAGCACACTTCAGAGTGGCAGCTGCTGTGTTTGCCAAAAGCTGATACAGTTGTATGGAAATTTCTGTTATCTGCCAGATAAAAGCGGCAAAAGGAAGCCTCGGTAGAGCCCGCTTGTCCTTCACCAGGAATTTGCTGAACCAATTAACTTATTCCCATCACACATTTGGGTTCAAAAAGCTACTACTGTGTACATCCTCGGACAGACCCAAATTTGCGAGGGAAGTCAGACCACCCGAGGGCAGGTCCCCATCCCTCTGACACAGCCACAGGGCACCAGCTGCCGGCACTGCGCAGGTTGCGAGACGCTCGCAGCCCGATTATGGCCGGCCACCCGATTGCCCCATGGAGCAGAAGAGACCTCTGGGCTGAGAACGCAAGGGCAGAGGGGCTGGGAGACGGATCAGGAGAGTCAGCTGTCCAAGGGGAGTAAGAAAAGATGAAAAAAAATTCATTTTGCACCCCCTGAAGTGAAAGTGCTCCTTTCTGCCTTTTTTTTAATAAAATAAAGCGTAGAAGCTGGGAATATGCAAAATCTAAGGTGAGGCCAGGTATCCAAGGAGGAGGCCCTCCAGCCTCTGCTATCCACAGCTATCACGCAGGAGAAACAGAAACCATTGCACAAAGCCAAAGTCCACTGCGATAGCAGATTTTTCCTCTTGCACAAATGCCAAGCAAATCTGATATCCAAGCGCTCGCCTGCCCGGCCTCATGCGCTCGCTCCCGCAGCAAGCCAGCACTCGCAGCTGCAGGTACCCAGCCCACCCACCCCGACCGGCAACCGGCCGTCGCTGAGGGGAGGCTGGGGCCTCGCGGCCGTTAACAGTCGCGATAACCTTTAAAAGGCAGAAATAGAAAGGCGGGACAGGCAAACAGTTTCATCAGTGTGCAAATAGGTGGAAAGGAGTAGGATGGCCACAGTGACTTGGCCAGGCTGTACTGGGAACAGCACGCCAGGAGGAGACAACGCCAACGATTTTCACATTTGAAAAGACTCTGCTTAATTGTTAACTACTGGTTTGGTCAGAGCTTGCAACCATACCCCCTCCTCATCCAAGATGCTTCAAGAGGGTCAGATTAGAAAAAGTATAGTAGGGTAATGCACCAGGCAGGTGTTAGAATAGCACAGAGCTAGGGTACAGGTAATTGCTTCAGGGCAGTCCTGTAGATTTGGGGGATGTGTGTGAAGGCCAGCTTGATGTCACCGATCTTCTCACCACTTACTTAGATGAGAGCTTTTTACTACCATTCACTGCAGTACTCATCCGCTTTTCATATAAGAGTTAGGAACACCGAGCTCCCAGCAGATTTCATGGCATGGCCCATTTTTCACGCTGTAGAGAACAAGTGCCTACTTCGTGTTTTTACTAAAATGGGAACAGAGGCGCACTTAATGTTATGAACACTACTGATTGCTAAAGCAAAACCTTCAACTGAAATAGAGAGGTTTGCACTGTTTGCTTAAGATGATTGGAATTTGGATTCTAAAATGCTCATTTAGCAATCTTTTCCAGTTTTCTGAAGGAAGTGATTAATTTTCAGGGCTAACACCACTAAAATATTTTATTTGCCAAAGAGCTCCAGCAGCATCCACAATAATCCCAGCAGCTGGATCAACATATGAGAACTTGTAAACTGCTTCTGTCTGCAGCGTATAGGAGAAATAATTTTATATTTTCAGGATGGACGAACAGTTGAAGAGGGAAGCATTTCCTTCCTTCGACTTTTCTTGGGTCTGGAGGTCACTAAATCCTCCATTAGTTTACCACAAAAGCTGTCCTTTCTGCAGTACGGGAAGGTAGCAAGGCCAAGCTCTCCTTTTGAGTTCTGGAAAGAAACTTAAACAGCCAGGACCACTTCCCAGTGGATTGAGTCCTTCCTGTGGGGTCTTTACACTGTACACTCACTCATCCTCTACATATAGACTTGCTTCAAGTATTTGCATCCTTCAGACCAGCACTTTCTAACTAGCTGCTTCATCACCCGAGAGAGGTAATGAGGCATTTCAGGGGTTTTGCCTGAATTATATTATACCCTCATATTATTGTATTACGGAATAACAGTAATTAGGGATCTTCTAATTCCTGCTGCTATTAGCCTTGTTCTATTGCCTAGTACTTCACTGAAATCTCCTAGCCACCCGCACCTTCTGCTAACTCAGAGAACTAACTATAACATCCAAATAATCCAAATTATCCCTTTAGCCACACAACAAATAACCAGTTGGCCAGATTCAGATTATATAATTTCCGAAATAAAAATAAAACAGGAATAAGAAACAATACTTGAACAACCTATTAGGAACCTTTATTATAAGACCAGGTTGCAGCCTCAAACAACGAATTAGCAATAACAACTCTAAAACCTTCTATTTCCACTAATGTCGCTAGGGTAAAATAAAAAAAAAAAATCCAAAGCAAACAAAGAAAAATTGAAGTCTCCTATTGAGTCGCCTAAATAAGTATCCTGGATTCCAGAGGTGCTTAAGCAGCTGCACCTCTCTCTCATCTCATCTCCTCAACATGCATCCCAGCTGGAAACGTTAGCCCGGTTTCCTCATAACTAGGAGGTAATAGAGGACATTTAATTAGCCGGGGATTCCTTTTAGGGGGTTTGTTCAGTAGGCACAGTGATGACTGAAGAGATTACGGGGGATTACCCCCAGCTCTCGAGAGGACAGCGCTGACTTTTAATGCGTAACCTACCTCACCCGAGGAACCGGCAGCCAAGCAGCAGAACAGGGATAAAGGGAAGCGATGACCCAGGATGTGCAGGGCACCGAAATCCTCTCTGCTTACCAGCAGAGCTGAAAACAGTAGTGCCCTGAGAGACAGAGTTAACTCTGTTCCAATAAATGTCTGTGGGAATGGCATGGAAGGAATTTTAAAAAGAAAATAAATACCTCCTGTATAAGCTATGACATGATAGTTCATGCTAAATTCTATGAGAAAAATAATGCAAGCATTACTTATTCACTGGAACATGCAAACAAACATCCCAAACAAACAAAAAAAAAATCACAAACTAAACTAAAAAAAAACCCCACCAAGCTAAATGGCAAACAAAAAGCCATTTTCTAGCCATCCTTATACAGCTAATTCAGATGCATGTCCGTAACTACACTGGGTACGCTTCATATCCCTGCAACGCACATTATTTACCTTCAACTGTAGTGAGATACCTTCACTTCCTATACAGTCAAATGCTACGCAGACTCTACAGATGCCTGGTGCATTTTAGCACTGTTAATCTTCTACAAAACCTTCACGTAAGCACACATAATGCTGTCTGACACAGTTCATCCATTTACTCCCATTAAACCTACAGACTTAGGCTCCCAGAGGTATCAAGACAACCCCTCACCGACTAAATAACGTGGCACTAAAAACACGCAGTACCTTCTGAGATTACACACGCTGCCGTTTCTTCTTTCGACTACCCAAACGGGGTCAGCCGGACTGAACCACCCATCTCCTGCCGGATTCCCCCCCTCACAACCACAGCTCCACCAAGTCAATCAAAGCAGTCCTTTCCTCATCCACTCGAATGACAACATACGTCACACACAGCTGGGATGCCTGTAGGAAATTATCACTGGCTTTTTTCGTAAACTCCAGGGCAGGAGGAATCAAAATTCAGTGAGAGTGGGCATTAATTCTTCATTACTCAGTTTTCTGAAGTTTGGATTTTGTTAAATTCAATGTTCTGGAAGAACAGGTATAACTATGTTAATAGGTGATTTATATTTCAGTAAGTCAAGAGACTGTTATCGTTTAGTTTGTTCTAGTTCAAAAAAGACCTCCTGTTGATTGAAAATTTGAGAAAAACATTTAGACTGAGCCCTACCCTCAGCTTTACTTCTGTAGAATGGGATTAACACACTGCAGAATTATTCACTGCTGCTCTGATCAATGGATTGATTTCTATGTTCATTTGAGGATTAATATAAAGCCCCTGAGGTATCCCACCTCTCATATGATTATGTAAATATTTAATAGTCAGTGGTGGTTCCTTGCAAAGAGGACTCCTTTCATTTTTTAAGTAAGGAATCACAATTACTAGAATTTCTCCTCTCCCTGTTATCTTACGTGAGTACCTTGACCTCCTGGCTATGAACTCACTACAGATTTCATTGCATCTTTTGAAATTCTGTCATCAAATTAAGAGACGAGTGTCTCATTATGGCTGACGTCTGCTCCTTTCAAGTACATGGGAGTATTACAAGAGGATTCAAGGGACACAGTAGAGTAGCGCTGGGCGTACTGAGTATCTCATCTCCCCTTTGAGTGCTTCTTTATTTAGATTACCAGGATATTTTTCACATTCTAAATTACATCAGGTTTCACTCTGCCACTGTAAACCAGTATCAGAAGGCAGCCTGCCTGCATCCTGCAAGTTCAGTCATCCGGTTTTGCAACTGATAGCAGACCAGAGTTTTTATTAATTTATTAACTTTATAGTTTCCTTTTTACTACAAGCATAAGTCTCTCATTCTATGCATACAGGATTTTTAAGTATCAGTAAATACTGAATGTTCATGTGATTCATTTTCTCCTCTGGAGGCAGATACCCACCTAAATACCCAATGATACATGACAGTGGTTTTCTGGTGCTTTTGATCTTCAGAGGATTTCCAGTAACTTCACAATGTCGATCTGCATCTGAGAATTTTAAAGAATGAAACTCAGTTTAAATATTCTACCATTACAAATATAATTAGGATGCACCAACCAGTTTCTGACTTACATTTTTACCACAAATTTCTTTTTAGCACACATTCTTCTTTTTTTCATCAATGCTAATAATAACAGAAATTAAAAGGCAGGCCATGTCCTCATTCATGCAAGTGATGTTATGATTTTTTTTTTTAAGTTAAGATAAGTTCTAACACAAGTCTGATTGCATTTTTTGCCTACAAAGTCTTTTTGGAGACAGTCAGCTAGGCAAATGAAACACAGATGAAAACATGAGTACTAAAATAAAAGCAGCTCTGGCTATTAAAAAGAATTTTCATGGAATTCTTCATTGTTTTCTACAAGCTTGTCTGACCCTAAATGGAGTAATACAGACATAAGAAGGATTTAAAGTTGGGACTACTGATTTTGGTCATGTATTACTCACATGGTACAGTGATTCATATCATTCTTAGTAAGTCAAACAGAACATGGGGGCTACTATGGCAAGATGAAGCTTAAAAAAAAAAAACAAACCCAAAAAACCCCTTTACTGTAAACCTTTGAACAAAGTGGTCAATTGCAACTAAGTATGACAGAGCTCAAAGGTCTCCAAGATAGGAACTTCCTGCGAAGTAAATGAAAATAAGCAGTTCAGTAACTACCTTAATGTGATGCTAGAACTATGAACTCACAACTTAAAAGGCACTATGAGTACACAAGCAGAGAATCTGTCTAAATGCCCCGGACATGGAAGCGTCACTATGAAGAGGATCACGCTTAGACAGCGGAGTCAATCAACCTAAGGTAAAAATTCATGATACGCCAGGTTTCAGTTAATAGTTTCAAGACTACTGGAACCATACTATTTTTTTTTAAACTCCTCAGAACGGTTGGGTTATCTGTCTTCCAAGAGCACATAAGCAATCCCCATATAGGGCTTCCAGTATCCTTAGAACGCAGGTATTCTGTTTTGGACAAAATTGCATTCATATGTTGATTGTGTAGATCTCTAATTCCCTCACATGGAATTACTCCCCACATGCACCTACATATGCGTACACCTTTCTTCGTATAGGTTTCACAGGTGCACATGCAGATCTGCATTTTCTAATAAACTTTACAACAGCTAGATACTATAAATAGATTATAATAACTGTAATTCCACTTGTTTTACCAGAATGTTTCTGTTTGTTTTGTTCCAGCACAAGATATGGAGGACATAGGCACATGAAGAGGATAAGACACTATATAGAACAATTTACATTTGAGAAAAAAGTAAAATTTACAATCTCTTCATGTGTTCTATCTAGCTACGTGTAAAAAACTTGTAGGTCATGAAACCACAGCAATGACTGAAGTAAGTATTTCAGTATGTTCACAGATGTTTTTAATGCAGCAGACAATGCACAACTTAGTTCAACGTATTAAGGAAACTACTTGAAATTCTTACATGTGCTAAGCGTAAATGATAGCTGGTATCTGGGAAGCCCAAAGGTTCCAGAGCCCTAGTGCCAAATACACAAAGTACTTTATTATTTTACCTTAATAGCAAAATATATTGTTCTCAGTGAAAAAAATGCACTGAACCTGGTGCCTAAAATATTTTTAATATTCCAAACACTTGAAATATTTTAAGTGACAGAGTAGAACGATGTGTCTCCATTGTCTCCCTTAGTAAAATAAGCACAGACTATACAGTGAGTATTTTATAGTTACTTTGGGAACAGCAAAGCATCGCCTAAGAAGTAATTAGCAAGAAAATTTTCCATCTACATGTCTTCACTGTAAAAAAAAAAAAGACATTGAATCATGGTGAGATATTAATATGCTGACTGAGAATACAGACTGCAAAGAGAGCACAGTTTCCATGCTTGAGGCAAAGCATGTTCACCAAAGGTACCGCATGGGTATTCCAAAGCACACCAATCTATTAAAAGTTAAATAGGTTTAACAGCAGCAAACTTTAATCCACAATATGGTACTCCCATGAAGAATACAATAAATTTTATGATCTTTATGCACTACATACAGAAAAACACGAAGTTAGATTGGGCATCGCTCTCAAGTGTAAAACCATAAAATAAAATTTAGGTAGGAAGTTGTCAAAAACAAAATTAAAAAAAAAGTCCTAAAATCAAATATGGGCTTCCACAGGAACACTAAAGATCTTAGTAAGATCAGTGAAATAGCGGAAGCTATGAGAAATAAAAATGTATTTAAAAAAAAACAACTGGAGTATTACATTTGATAGTGTCTTTTTTTCAAACATATCAGAAGCAGAAAGTGCGCTAGTGCCTGTAGCAATAGGAGATGATCAAGGTGTGAGGAAAATCTAGAAGATAGGTAAAGGCATGGCAGAAAAGCTGGATGAATTCTCTGCAGCCTCGTTCACTGCAGAACTTAAACAAGTCCGCTTCCAAAACCCTTTTAAAGAAGAAAGTGTGAGAACTGTGCATCCATAGGAAATATTTCAAAACAAACTGGTTAATGAATAAAAACAAGTTACTAGGACCAGGTGGAATTCATCCAAACAGAAACTGCTGAGCACGCGCACTACTGGTGTTTAACTAATGCTTAAACTGTTCTTGGTTCAAGAGAACAAACACACGGCAAATGCGATAACATTCTTCAGTAAGTAGGCATGCAGACTGGCAAAAGGGTTGAACTATTAATAGAGGCATACAGTTAAATACGGAAACATCAAGGGAGCCAACAAAGACCTTGTAAAGGGAAAACATGTTTAATGTGTTCTCATTATTCAGCGGCGTGTCCTTGCAACAAGAAGGACAACCGCAGACTGGGCCTTGCTAGCCCAAGTGCAGCCAGCGGGGAGAGGGAGGTAACCCTTCCCCTCGGCCTCTGTGAAACCACGTCCAGACGCCATGTCAAGTTCTGGGATCCCCACTACAAATGAGATATCGACATGCTGGAGAAAGTCCAGCTATTGGAGAGTCTGGTTTGGGGCTGGAGTATAGGAATGTACACGGAGAACTGGGTCTGGTCAGCCTTGAGATGAGGCGGCCAAGGGGAGACCCGATTGCCACCTGTAACTACCTAGTGGCAGAGCATAGGGAAGACCAAGCCAGACCCCTCTCGGCGGTACGTAGGAAGGGGACAACATACTATTGCTGTCTGTGGCAACAGACACAAGCTGGCAGATGGGATATTCTCCTTAGGTATAAGGAAAAGATCATTTACTGTGAGGTTGATCAAACACTGGAACAGGTGCCCAGAGAAGCCATGGAGCCTCCATCCTTGGAGGCACACAGATCTCATCTGGACAAACGGCCCTGAGCACTTGAGCTTTGTGCAGGGGTGGGATTAGAGACCTCCAGAGGTCCCTTCCTGCCTACACATCCTGTAAACCAGTGGCCGCAAGTGTCACAGGTCTGCCAGGAACCTCTGAAGGAATGGTGACATGTACACATGCAGCTGACCTGGCATCCAGCTTGGCATTTCAATTAGCTTTTAACAAACTGTGTCACCGAAGACCGGTGCTGTCCAGCTGTTACAGGGTAAAAGAGAAGGGTTTTTTTCAGGGATTAGCACCTCATTAAAACTAATTGTCTATGTAATCCCCAAAGGATCTCTGCTGCTCAACATATAAAAGATCAGGAAAAGAGGTGACTAGAGTTAAAGTTTCCTGATAAGAAATTACTGAGCATAATCAAAGCTAAAACTGATTGCAAAGGATATCAGCAGCATCAACAATAAATGTAAACTCATTCTTAAGGGGTAAAATGACTGTAACATACAGATACAACGATGGGTTCTACACCATCACCATGCAGAAGACAATTCATGGAGTCAGTGTCAACAGCTTTCTAAAAATATCTAGACAATACTAAAGAGTGGCCACTTAAAAAGAAATTAGAATCAGAATATTACAAATTATGATGATAGGAAAATAGGAAAACATGCGAGACTCTACAATGATGGGAAACCTGTATCTTGAAGTGCATGTAATTTGGGGCACCATAACCCTAAAGAGGATACAGTACAATTAGAAAAACTCCAGGGAACAACATTACGAACCACAGTTGAAATGGATTCTTTATGAGGTTTTAAACAGACCGAGTTCTTAATCTAGAAAAGTGATGGCTGTTGTGGGTATTACAGAGGTCAACGAAATCAGGAATGCTATGGAGAAGATGATAGTGAATGAGGCTTTTTCTTTTAGTTTTGAAAGGGTTTTTTAATGATTTCCTTTTTTTAAACTAGATTTGTAGGTCTCTTAAGCTTAGAAAGACTCTCATTGGGGAGTTATTTCTCTTTGACATTCCATCATATCGCTATCAAAATTCAGATTATCTAATGAATGTACTGTGCTCTATGTATTCCCTGAGTAGTATTCTTCCTCGAAACTCTGGGGGAAAAAAATAGTGTGTTCTTTTAATTATTTTACTGGCTACTAAAATCTGGCACAACTGTATTCAAAGATAACAGTAGAGAAAATATTTCCATCCTAGATGCGGCCAAAAGATCTTCCATAGCTATCAAAATCAAGGATGTAAAAACCTGTTTGTAAACCAATACCCATAAATGTGACTCACTTCAGATGAATGGGTCATTTTATATCAGTAAAACGTAGGCTGTATGCTTACAAAGACAAATTCAGTAACATTTTGCATATTCTACTTAATTTTCACTTGCCTTTATCAAACCAGACCGTAACAAGCAAGTACTGTGTACCAAACTTGTTATTAAAACTGCAGATTTAAAGGTATGTCAAGTTTTGATCATGAACAGTGTACCTGTTTCCAGATAACTACATATATGTTCTACAGATAATGCATTACCATCCACTGAAAACATTTTGACAATCATGTCTACATACATAGAGTGTAGTTACCCAAATTTAAATTACTATAATTAATACACTCAGTTATATTGATAAAACTGTATCTGAGCAGGGGGGGGGGAAAAGAAAAATCCCTCAAACTCTTCCTGTGCTGAAGTAATAAGGTTCACAGATGCATGGCTCACTCTCATGCATACATCAACATGCTCACAAGCTGGAGACAGATCCAATCTTGTCAGTGACTGTCTGGAGAAGAATGCCCACTTTGGTTTCCTCTAATTAAGAGACCTTCCACGGACAGGATAGTTTTGCTTAACTTTCTAAAAAAGGTACAATACATTCAAACTAAAAAGAAGGTATTTTGCCTAATTTAGAGCATGGGAATTTCCTCTTACCGAAACAGTTCACCGGTTCTAATTATTCCTGAAAATCCATCAGACAAGTTTATTGTCAACAACTACAGCGAGTCTATTATCTTCAGGCAGAACAAAGTTTGAGATTTCCATGATGGCTTGGGCTCCTAGCAGGAGGTGCCATGGCTTCTCACCCTTCTGGTGACCATCCCTAGATTGAACTGGGAATGTAAATGCATCGTCTCCACTACCTCCTGCTGGCATCGGAGCAGGGGTCATGCTACACGGTTCACTAATGAGAAAAACCTAATCCTCTGCACTAACTGATGGAATGAAGAACACCGAATAGGACCTTGTTTTCTGCCAGTGGATGTAATGGGCTGAGGGAAATGACGTGGCTGGAATTAGAATAATAAAAAATGCTCTGCCTGAAATCTCATTTCACCTAGAAGATGGTTGGGCCCGAGATTAGCATTCTCAGAGGCTTCCATGCCCCTCTCCAAGGCAAAAGAAGTATCTGCAGATGAGTTCAGATGGACTGCAAAAAATCAATTTATTTTATGAGCAAGCTCTGACTGGCTTGTTCAGACTTTCTCAGAACTGGGAATTAGTTTCAATTACAAGCTGGCACTTCAACAAATTGCATGAGACTAAGAAGGCATAAATCCTGGTACGCTGCTGGGTGAGTGTCCTACCACCCTTCTGTCTTTAGATTTTATGGTTTCTGAGTGTTGGTATGGCGCCTACTGCAATACAGTTGTGAAATGCAGTTACGTTTTCAAGCACTGGTTTCGCACACGCACAGTCAGGTGAGTCTGACAAAGCATCTAAGCAGTCATTAGATCCAAGTTTCAGCACACCACCATGGAAAACAAATTCCAAATCAGTTCTTGGACGTCCTAACCATCTCATGCCCTATCACATCATGGGTAACCTGCTACTCTGGCCAGCTTATTATCTAAGCACAGTTCTAACTTTTGTAACACCACCACAGACATTCATTCAATGCTGTAATTACTCAGTGGTATTCAACATACGAAGTCATTACTGTTAATCAAGTATCTCATTTAAAAATTAAAAATTTTGAAAATTACTTCATCAAGCTATCCTTAGAAAAGGATTCAGGGCATTCAGGAAGAGAGAGTCTATTTAGTTAGAACATTAAAATCTACAGAGTGCTCTGAACACGGCTCACCAGATACAAGTACATGAACAAAACTAGAAAAGTATTTATTTACTTACTTGCTAGGCTTTACGCCTAGTAAATATTTAAGCCACATTTAAGAATATGACAATGAAGGTAAGAGCACTGTACGATTCCAGAGAGATGGATATTGCCAGAAACAGAATACACGCGTGTGTGTGTACACACAGAGAAACATGAGTTAAATTAATTAAATGAGGTATAATCTGGTTTCCACTCTTATAAAATAATTTGAATGTTGTGTTCAAAAAGCATTGACAACTGTGACTTCCTCCCCCCTCTCCTCCCTCCATCTATGTTAGGTCTCATCAGGAAGCATCAGCATTCAAAAAGACAAAATTGCAAGGTCCAAATTTTTCTTTAAATAAGAATAATGAAATACAGAGACTACAGGGAAAAAAAAAAAAAAAAACTTTCTCTTGTTGTTAATCTGATGTTGTTGTTTTTCATTCAAAGGAGGAACAAAGAGGAAGCACTCACAGCACTTCAAGTCTCATACAAGAATGACTATTTCCTTCTGAAAAGCTCAGCTTTTCACTCCTTTGTTTTAAAGTTGAACTGTGTATAGAACACTTGTTCTAGTATGATGATTAACAGTTGGATGAAACAGGTTTTTTTCTTGTTTTTTTCTCTTCCTTAAACAAAAGCTTCATCTTCTTTCAAACTGAGTTACTGCAGTGAGTGAGAAGAAATAGGGACATGAATAAAAAAGGTTCAAGTTCAAGTGAACTTCTAAAATTAATTTTCATCCATGATTTAGCAGAAATCAGTGCCAATTACATAAATTAAAAAGTACAATGCTTCCCCCTCAGAAAATAACTGTTATTTTGTATTAAAGATTAAAAGTACAATCCTAGTCCAGCCTTAGACACACTTCTTCCACAGAAGTACAACCCGCATGGTTTCCTTAAATCTGAAAGTTGTTCCTGACTTGCATAGCTTTGAAAGAAGAAAGAAAACAGCCGATAGGACAACTAAATAAGTAAGACAAGGACAATGAACAGAAATATTCACCAAGTTCTGGATGACTGCGGAAGTAGGTGAGGAGTTTGCATGCGAAGAATGGCTGGTGTTAAAGCACATAAGGGGAAAAGAGTTACTCAAAACCAGATTCTAAGCCTCTATGGAGTAAATTACTTATAATTGGCACTGACATCATCGGCATCCCAGTTAAATATGCTGGGAAAACATTTAGCGTTAATCTAGTAAACGTGGTTATAAACACAACATCTAATACTCTAAAAACGTTTCTTCAATTCTAATACAATTGACAGTACGGTGAGCCAGCGCGGCTCATCTTGGAATACCAAGCGCCTGCTCCAAGAACTGCATCTACGGAAGGCTGGGAAACATAACCAAACAGCGTGAGCAGTAAAACAAGGCGCTCAGCGCAGATACAAAACCTGCTGAAATATTCAGTGATTTTGCAGCAGAACTTACACACATATGCACATGAAGAGACCTACTGTTGCTATCTACAACAACTCACAACCTTTTGTCATACTACTAGTGAATTTGTCTGTTCTTTATATTTTGGCTATAAAGAACAAGTGTAACATAGGCAAGTATTATTTAAAACTAAAATTTCAAACTGGAACAGACAAAAAAAAAAAGATGCAACTATGATGAAATAATAAACATAGCTATCACCACCATCGGATCACCACAGTAACAAAGGGTTGTATTACAGGCGAGATGTAAATTCGTATGCATCCTAAGCGCCTCATTCCTTGATCAACGCCACTGAGAAAAAGTGAAACACGTACAGATCTACACTTTCTGTTCAGCGAAAGAATAAACGAACAATATAAAAGCGAACTACTTTCACACTGCCTAGCAGGAAGCATGTTTTTTATGTTACGGCATTGATTTCCCCTCCCGGTCCCCGATTTTTTTTTTAATGACAATTTTTCTGTAAGTGAATGAGGTAATAGGTCTTCCCTTTTCATTCACTGAAATGATCCCCCCAGCCCGAAATCTGTTCAAGGCAGCCAGACTTTATCCAATGTGTTGGTGATATGCTGGACAAATGAAAAAATGAAAAGCAAAAGCGTATAGACAAGAAACGTTTATTGAAAAAGAAAATAAAATTAAAAGACAAAAATGGGTGGGAAGCACAGCACACAGAACTAAGAATTAAAAAAACATCTTACATTCTGCCTTAATGGCAGCACAGTTAATAGGGACAAAGGGACGTCTTGCTGCCTGCCGCAGCCGGAGGGTATTTTTGCAGACCTGACGGGCCAGTTTTGTCCAACACGTTGTGTGAAGAAAGAAAGCTTGACGTGTTTTCACTGCCGACTTTGGACTTCCAGTGTTACGAACTGGAGTTCCCTGTGTGGCCTGCCGGGACATGTGAGTTCTAACATGGGATTCCTACAAAAACAAACAAAAAAAATCGTAACACATACATCTGAATTACAGCATTAAAAAAACCCACAATTCGGATAAATTCACAAGGCTAATCCAATAATATGTATAAGCACTATACAAAAAACTGGGGCTTACGTATGAAGCTGTAAAACAGAGTAGAGAACTCTATTGTGAGTGGATATATAATGCCATTCTAGATGAGATATTGTATAGTCCTATTAACATTTTACAGGTATCACACCATTTGATTGACAACATGACATTTCTCCACCAAAATGCATGAAGTGGATGTTTGCTTAGCTAAGACTTAGTCAAATAAAGACATGGCAGGACCCACACGCTGTTCAGTTCTACTTAAGACACGAAAAGGACTAATAAATTGAGTTTTGTAATACCAAAGTTGAACACATACATAAAAAATCATTCCATTAAATATTCAAATCACAGCAGTCTTGTGAAAGCACCACATTTTGTTTTAGGAAATTTATCTACACGATCGTACCTCTGTAGGTTGGCTGGAAGACAGTTTATCTTCATCCGTCTGTGTGGGCATTTTCAGGCCACCATATTTCTTCCAATAAATCCAGCAAGATGCACACAATCTACATTGCATATTAGGAGGACCCCAAGAATACCATTGGTGAGACTGTGGAGCTAAGGAGGAGAAAACAGCACACGTAAACTGGTGCACGCTACATTCAACATAATGAATCCAAATGCTGTAATAGACGGCTTTATATGGCCATCATATATGGCATTATAAAAGCATTATATGGATAAATATTTAATACATTTGACACGGAAAAAAAAAAGAACTTGAATTTTTAGGGTTTTTTTGTTTGTTTTTTTTTTTTAAACAAAAGCACCCCAGACATCAACTCCAAATGGAAATTTCAAAAATGCCTCCCTATTTAATTTCAAACCAGGGACTTTGTATTGCCAAGAAGAGATTTTCTTCCAGGGGACTACCAAACAAAATAACCAAACCCTGCCCGCCCCCAAAAAGCCCTATAAATCCTCTACCATAGGCTTATTAGGTTGCTTGTTACTTATTAGAATTACTTAAGATCTGTGTTTTTTGCTCAAGTCATGCAAAGTGAGTACTTATAAATCAAGATCCATTAAGAAAAGGACAAGCACTTCTCCTATCGACCTTGAAGATGCATATGTACCTTTACCTCGTGCGTGTGGAGGCTCAGCAGAAAACAGTAATTTAACCTTTTTTCTTTTCTTTTTGTAATCTTTCACAAGAAAACTATTCTTTAAAAAACATGATTTGAAAAACAACAAAGTATGTAACTGGAATTTTCTATACACAAAATATGGTTTTTATTTAATTGGTGTTTAAGAGACAGGCAGCCATAGCAATGATAAATGAAGAACTCTTTCAATTCTTTCTGTTTCTGAATTTTATTATATCTACTCTCATATATCCTATGTTGAAGGCTGCTATTTCAAGAAGTCCAACAAGGACCACCAGAAACACACAAAATACTAGGGAAAAAACCAACACACCCTCCCCCCGCCCCCCAACAACAACAGAGGGGAGGAAAAAACCCAAAAAACCAACTCAAACGCCCTGCAGCCTTACAGAAGAACCAAAAATAAGTTTGAATCCAGTATTCTGAAGGCAAAGGAATAACATATCAGTGCCATCATATTATACTACTTTATCTTTCTGTACTTTCTGAACTGTTAAAAAAAATAATCATAAAGTGGATTTGAATATTGACACATCAATATATTGAAGGCAACTCTAACTTAAAGTTATTTCTGCCACACAAGTCATTGAAAATTATCCTCTATAGCATGCAAACAAAAGTACATACATTTGTTTTTAAAAAACAGTGCATATTAAGATTAGCCCAAACTCCTGAATTATTAAAAAATAAAAATAAAAAAATTCACTTACTATAGCAGCTTTCACAAGCCCGACCTATTAGTGAGGCCTGTGCCTGGTAAGAGGCTCCCATTGCTCCATTGACTGCAGCAGGTTTCCCATTGTTGCTGGATATTTGATTGGGATTTGGTTTATTGCTTTAAAAAAAAAAAAAGTGATTTTACTAACCAGTTAGTCAACATGAAAACAAACAATCTAATTCTGGAATTCTGATGAGTGGTGACAACATCTGTAAAATCTGCTCTAAACAACAAAACTATTTTTATACTCCTCTAGTATTTTCAGCACTGTAAGAGACTTCCTATGTAAAGAGCTGCTTTGATACTCAAATTTACAGATCTTTGTAAAACGCTCTCACATGGTCTAAGCTACTTGACAAGCTAGTAAAAGACCAAGTCTCAGGGTCAAGCATTAACAAAAGCCTGACACAGCACAGAATTTAAGAAGGGGGTTCCAGTCAACAGGTAAGGCTTTATAAGGTGAGACTGGACTTTGGGTGAAGTATAACCAGTAAGAGTAGTAACACTGCCTATAATACTACAAGGCTGTCCACCCTAGATGAGGGTCTTCTGCCTCCTATCTCAAGCAGAAGTACGTAACTTTCCACCAACTGCAGTAGATGTTAATACCCTATAACCCTGGCAAAGCTCACCCAATATAATATCAGGCTGTTCTGTCCGAGTTCTGTCCTAAACTACTTTCTGAGAAGGCCGAAGAACTGGTTTTGGATTATTTTTATTGTTGTATTATTAGTGTGATTATTTTACCTACTAATACTTCAGCGAAGTAGGCCTTTACAGGTCAGTTAATTCAGAGAGAATTAATATTCTCCTCACTAGGTTAAGTACAGTATTTCCAAAGCTCCAAGTTTGTGGGTGTTAATTACCCCTTTGACAAGCTATACTCTCAATACAATGCAAGGCTGATACATTAATTCCTAAGATGATTATTCATTACTTTAGTTAGCATAAAATATGTTCAAGATTAGTTAAAATGACTAATTGAAGAAACCTTTGCTGTATCAAGTCTCTACTTGAAATGCCAGCAAGTCTGTCTCCTGCCTTCTCCTTTTTCACTATATCCAGTAAGAGACAAGTTTACAATTTCCAGATACTCTTTATCAAGTACCTTGGACTCAAGGTACAAGAGAAGGGATCAGGAGACGATTGTGTCTCCCGTGCTATGATCTGTCACAGTTACCTTCCAGAGAAGCCATGAATTGAAAGGGACTCCCTGGTACTGAGGACAGAACCTTGCTTTTACTGGAAATACCTTATGACCAAGTTCAAAAAGATATTCAGCTCTGTGAATCAATTCTACTCAGATTTCAAATACAATAACTCACTCTTGAAACAGAGCGTTAGCAATCCATTTGCCCACAAGTGTCCCAGATTGCACAGTTATCAAAGACTTGAGAAGTCCTAACACCCTCTTACCATTGACTATGGATTTTGTCTTGACATGGAGGCAAAAGACAGACAGTATGAAAGATAAAGGCAAAAATCCTGTATTTCAAAACAGGTTTTGTCATCCAATACAACTAGTCCCTACTGCAAACATACTGGCACAAGTCCTGAACCATCCACATGGGCCAAGGAAATTAAATTGAAAAAGCATTATGTAAAGACTGGGCATCTTACAGTTTTCCTAAAGCAGCCACTTCCCTGAAAGGGTTAGGAAACACTCCTACTAGAGCGTGCAGCTTTTTTTTAAAAGGTGTCATTTATCAGAGACTTGAGCTTTAAAACTCACAACGTTTCTTCAGAGATGAAATTAAAAGAATGAATTTAACAGTCCGCTGTTTGTATTATTAAATCTGGTTAAGAGAAAAGTCTGTATGAAATATGGAAGTGAAGCCCTATTGTATGCAATTTATACAAGTCATGAAAAAGCCAACAGTGGATTTTCAAAGTATTTCATTTGGTGTTCTAGTCTTCTGTTATACAAACACTCACAACAATGGGAAATTCACATATATGTAAACTGAATATACCCACAGAAAGCTTAAAAGAATGTCATCTGTAATCCTTTCTCTTCTCATAATCTTGAGAAAATTATGAATATGAAAGAGATTATATCTTGTTTCTGTAAACTACATGTTAACAAAAGCAGATATAGCATAGAGTTTAAATCTAAAAAAACAGATTAAAAACGCTTCAGAAGAACACAGATTTCATTAGACTTGTTCAAAGAGAAAAGATTTCGGGCTGTGTGCCATCTTTAATTTACAGCCAGAACATCTCGTCTCTAGCTGAAGAATAGATCGTATCAACAAGATAAAATTGTAATGGGAAAGTATCTGATTTTATTTTATGTAACTACATTAACTGCTTCTATTTTGAAATATTGCATTTACACAAATATGAAGTGTTGTGCTACAGGGTTTCAGAAACGATTATTCTGGAAAAACTGCTTTACAAACGATAAGGCCCTTCTTGGATGCGAGCAGTCCACGTGGCGCTTGATCACCTTTTGTAAAACTTCCCCCTGTTCCAGAACAGGCAGTTTGCAGGTCAAAGACAATGGGCTCAGTTAAGTACAAAGGTTTCATTTACGACAAGAGTTTGTGTCATTTTCTGATTATACCTCTGTATATTCTGTTTGTTTCTAACAAATACTAAGAAAGTAACTACCAAAAAGACAACTAAGAAAATATCATGCATGTTACTGTTTCAATTTTACCTGTTCATTATTCAGAAAAATGACTTGTTATACTCACTAGGTGGGGATGTATACTTGTTTCAATTTACTTTCTGCTTCAGCCGCTTTAAGACGTTTCTAGTTGAAAAATTAACACATTAAAATATTTTATTATATTCAAGTACGAGATTTCATAAAACTGCACACAATCCATCTTTAAATTATTTCTATTTTGTGATTCCACAAGTGCCTCCAAAACAAGTGTAGAAATCTGCAAGATGAAAACCATGAAAAACGAGTTCTCTGTTTTTATTATTGTTTGAAATTATAGTATACTGTCTTCCCCAGTAAAACTCACAGGCCTCACATATGACAACGAAACTGTAAAAACGACAGTTACAATTTACATAAATTACATCTACATAAACATGTAGGACATTGTGGCTAACCCTCATTGCAGAATAAGTAGAAAATAAACGAGTGAAATTGCACACAATGAGTCCCTCATCAGTCATGTAACTCAGTACTTCTTGTATGCTCTGTCAAGCCTCAGGCTACTATTTTATAAGCAGTACAAGGAAGTGGAACAGTAAAATCCACTTTTAGAAATAACTGAACACCTACTTCTGTTAAGTGCCATTAAAACTGTAGCTCAGGAACACAGCAGTAGCAGGACAGCTACATACTATCAAGACAGTCTGTGAACTTATTAAATGATTACTTTCTTCATACTAGCAACAAACTCAAAACCTGTTGCACTCAAGGTAGTATTATTAACTTCTAAAACGTTATTGCCATATATTATACAAGTAACTAAGATGACAATTTTTTCAGCAATGGCACAAGAAATACAGAGTTCAGATGTCTACTGTTTATCTGAAAGATTTGTCTGTATGTAAAAGATGAAGGAAAAAGATTATTTTCCTGCTCTTCCTGTACTCAAGAGATCACTTTTGTTCACGTGGGGGGGAAAAAAAAAAAGGGAGAAAAGGAGTTGAAACAGTCAATTTTATTACAGAGGAGGAAAAAAAACAGCAGGGATATTGATATTCAGCAATAATAAATCAGCACTACCTGCCTGCCTCTCAAGATTCTCCCTTTCTTTCTCAGGTGTTTAAAATCCAGTCCTCCATTTCTCCTACAACAGCCAATTCCCTTCTCTGCTATACTCCTATTTTCTGATATCCAGTCTTTGCAAGGCTCACAATCCAGGAAGATATTTCCCACCTTGAGAAAAGTATCATCAAAAGACTCTGCTCCAAGACTCTCTCACCTGAGCCATGAGGTGAGTTACAGGGTTAATCAGCTTTACTGGTCGAGTAGCCCGAGTAAGCCCCCTCATGTAAACCGCTGCTCTCTTCCATTTCAGAAAGTTGCCTCTGTGCCATCCATCACCGTAACTCTCATTCATAAAAACCACATCTTTGAGGAGCAATCTATGACAAATGGACTCCTAAGCAGTCCATGCCACCACGAATTAATTTCCGTGCAATATGAGAGCCCTTTTCCATTTATTTCCAAGACAGGCTTTTTTTTTTTTTTTAAAAACAGGTTTTTGCTGTTCACAGATGCCTAGTTGTGTTCGGAGCTACAGAAGTGACTCCCATCGACACATCTGGTGCAGTTGCAGTCTTTCCCCAGGACCAGGCTTGCCAACACTGCACTGCCTTCAAGAGGCCCATAGCAGAAATGCAAACACAGTATGCTCTGCCTGCTTAAGTCAGTTTTTACGAGAGCAAGGAGAAAGAACAGCAGCAGCATGCTCCAAGTCTGATAAACTGACAGTTTTTAGTCTGAGAACATTTCACAGCCCCAGCAGAAGAGCTTTCAATGGTGAACTCTTTTTGCTTAACAGCTTCAGGCCACAGGCTTCCCACAACTGTCTCTTTCTCCTTTCCATATTACACGCAACAATATGGGATTTGTTTTCAAACTGAAAAAGCATGTGAGACTGCAGGTCAGCAGGTAACATGCGTTCCACAGAGGTTCATAACAAACTGGTCCCATTCTACAAAAAGAACGAATAAATCTCACTGCACACCTAGCAAGATCATCAGAGCAAAAGAGAAAAACACAATAAAGGGAAAGAAATGAGGAAAGTAGCCTTGAAGCACTGTCAAAATGTAAAGGCATTTGTAGGAAGCTGTATCATGCCCTGATGGCAGTGTCAGTGAGAAGTGACTATACACAGTAATTAAATTTTAGCATACTTTTAATACTGGCATGGGGGTTGTAAGGAATGCAATTTTAGCAATTGCTTTCCTCCTTTATTTACTGAAGTGAGTCATATACTGCCTTCTACAAAATAATCACACAATGCCATTCAGTGTAAGCTATATTTTTATGCACTAAAACTGTGGTTAACATTGCTCCCTAAAAGCAACAGAAAATGTCACAGCTTGAATTCACACTGACCTATCAACTTTTAAGTACCAAGAGAGAAGAAAGGATGCAGAAACAAAACTATCAACAAATAATTGCAATTTCTGAGATGAAACCTCTGCCTGTTGAAATTTAGAGGATGGAAAGTGGTAAGCTGTAAAGGTTGGAAGTTGAAATTGAAAACATTTAGAAAAGAAACAAAGCACCCAGTTTGTAACAATAAGGGTAACAAATCACTGGAGCAATGTAACAAAAAGAACTGATGCTTTTCCTGGAAAAAAAAAAAAAATTACACCTGATCTTAAACAGTAACTATTTCAAACAAGTGGTACAGACTGCATTGTAGGGGAGGTCAAGCTACACTAACCCAGCTTTTCACCTGGGCTCTACTACTTGTAATCAACTACCCTTGAAACTGAATGTTATTTCTTTTTAAGAACTTTTATTTTGAGTATCAACTGACAAATATCCCAAGAAATGAACATTTCCCTATGTTAGTACTGTTTTCAACAGTGGAAATGAACAAATGAGAGGGAAATGTAATATATTGTCGTAGTACAGTAATTGAGTTATCTTTACATATGTTCTCCCTTTTTCTGTTGCAAAGTCTCAGTAAAAGTGTTTTTGCATTGTATCAGATTTTTAAGGAGAACACCACAAATAATGAGAACACATTTCATTCAGTGGAACGAGCCACCTGGCCTTCCTCAAACACTATATAATGTAGTGGTCATGAAAAGTGCCATATCACCAAGAATGATTACCCGAGGCCTGAATTAGTTTT